TCGTGAATCCAAATGACTCAGATCAGTCCGTGAGCTCCACGATGAGTCACCAGGGACATACTGGAGAGGAAATGAATTGTCTGTCTTCAGGTCAGGCTGAATGGCCAACTTTCTTCCAGACGGAAGTGCAGGCAGACCAATGTTCCTTTTCTGAGTCCTTCCCACACAGAGCCGGCAGGTGAACACTATCAGTCTCCATCAACCTAGCAAACACCAATCGCCATGCCCCGGCAATTCCCTGAGAGCATACCCCACCCAATTTTCAGGCACACCAAGCTACTTTCAGCAGCTTTTCCATACAACCAGCTTGCCTTGGATCATGCTGCAGACTTTCCTAAAATCTCTTAAAGGTTCACAAGCCCCAAACAAGCATCATCTGGTCTCAGCAGGCAGTGGCTGATCTTGGCCTGTACCTCCCGGGAAGCCCCAGAGTGAGCCCCATGGACAGCTTCATACCGCACTGGAGCACCACCTAATCACCTTCACTCAAAGGGAGGACTCATCAGGCACCAAAGCCCCAATATCAAGAATCCTACTCTGTCCCCTGTAGGATTTCTTAATCTTGATTAAGGACCCTTCCAGTTTACTGTATGTTGCTGAGCCTAGCTATAGGAAGTGAAGGACTGCAAATAATTTTTGCTGGGTCTTCTTATTTTGGTACAAGTTATGATATATTAGAATAAAACACTTTTATTATCATAAATAAAACTTATAGAAAAGCTAGCTAAAACAGTGAACACATTTTTATAAAGTGAACATTTCTGTCACTTACTAGTCCTCAGAAATCCCTTTTGTAGTTTTCCCTATTACACCTTTTCCCCTAAAGTTAAACAATACCTTAATTTTTATGGTAATAATTTCCTTCATTTTCTTTACATTTTTGCCACCTAAATGTATTCCTAACTACTTTTCATTTTTGGCTCTTTTGAGCTCTAATTATAGAGTAGATTAATTAGTTAATAAACAGAATTACAGTTACCCTCCTTATTTGTGGTTTCTCTTTCTGTGGTTTCACTTTCTGCAGTCGAACCGTGACCCAGTCAACCATGGTGTGAAAATATTGAGTAGAAAATTTATAAGTTTTAAATTTGCACTGTTCTGAATAATGTGATAAAATCTCACTCTGTCCTGTTCTATTCTGCCTGGGATGTGAATCATTCCTTTGTCCAGTGTATCCACTTCACCTCATCATATAGGCACTATATAATCTCACAACATCATGAGAAGAAGGGCAAACCAGTGCAATAAGATATTTTGAGAGAAGAAGAGAGAGGTCACATTCACATAGCTATTATTATAGCATATTTCTATAACTGTTCTATTTTACTAGAGGCCCAGTGCAAGAAATTCGTGCATGGAGTGGGGGGTGTCCCTCTGCCCAGCCTCTCCTATCTGGGGCCCCTAAACAGGCTGTCAGACATCCCTCTCAAAATCCAGGACTGCTGGCTCTGAACTGCTTGCTTGCCTGCATGCCTGATTGCCCCTAACCAATCCCTTGCAGCCTGATTGATGCCTAACTGCTCTCCTGCCAGCTCAATTGCCTCTAACTGTCCTCCCTTGCAGTCCTGGTTGCCCCTAACTGCCCTCCCCTGCTGGTCTGGTCACCCCCAACTGCCTTCCCCTGCTGGCCTAATTGCCCACAACTGCCCTCCCCTGCCAGCCATCTTGTGTCCACATGGGGCAGCCATTTTTGACCACATGGGGGCAGACATCTTGTGTGTTGGAGTGTTGATCAATTTGCATATCAGTCTTTTATTAGATAGGATTATTAGTTATTGTTGTTAATCTCTTACTGTAGCCTGATTTATAAATTAAACTTCATCATAGTGATGTATCTGTAGGAAAAAAATATATATATATAGAGTTCAGTACTAAGTGTTTTAGAGATCTACTAGGGGTTTTGAAATGTATCTGTATGCAGTATGTTTTCTGCTGGTATGTTTTTTTTTTTGTTTTTTTTTAGTCGACATTGTATTTGTGATGTTTGTGCATTCTGGTGTAGGTAGCTGCAGTACATGTTTATTTTTGTTGCTTTCATCTTTCTTTGGTTTAATGGTTGCCCCTTGGGATTTGAACTCCCCTATGCTTTGAGTTGCACCTGAGGAAAAAAGCTTAGAGGGAACTGGCCACTATAACTCTGCTGAAATCAAAGGTAGATGGAAGAGATGTGTTGTGGGGTTCAAAGAGTGCCCACTACCTACTTCACCAGTAATTGGTATTATTTACTTCAAACTTCAATAATAAGTTGGGTATTTATGGTATTTTATTGTGCTTTTATTTTGCATTTTCCTGGTTACTAATGAGATTAGATTAGATCACATTCATGTTTATAGATCATTGGATTTTTTTGTGTGTGAAGATGCTATTCCATTTCGCCCCAGTTTTTTTTTTAATTGGGTTGTCTATGTTTATTGACTTGTAGAAAGGTCTTTATAATTTTTTGGTGACATTTAGTGACAAAATCAACTCTTCATTGATTATGATTTTCATATTAAGGTTCATAATCCACCTCAAATCATCATTTGTGCATTGTGTAAGGTAGAGGCAAAGTTTTTTCCAATATGAATACTTTGTTGAACTGATACCATTTGTTAAAAAGACTTTCTTTTCATTGCTATTTTTAATTGTCAGTTTAGTTATGAATCAATTGTTCATAAACCAATGTCAAATAATCTTTCATTACTATATATTTTGCCCTGTTACCTTTATTTACTCTCCTATCCCCCTTCCCTCTGTTAACCACCATCCTATTTAAACAAGTAGGTCAAAGTAGAAGAACTTGCTTTTGACAACCTATTATAAAGCCATGGGATTTAGAAAAATGGGGGTTTGATGCAAATATAGAAAAACAAACAAATGAAATAGAAGAGTCCACAAATAGACGCATATATTTATGGACACTTGCTCTACCCAGTCTTCCCCATGTCAATTAATGGTACCTTCTTCCTTCTAGCAGCTCAGAACAAAAATCTCAGAGTTTTACTTGATTTCTCTATTATGGCATGTTTTTCTTTTGAATGGTTATTTCTTTAAAACATATACATAATCCAAACACTTCTTACTCCTCCCACTACTATCTGGCTGCTCTGTCTTTGTTAAGTGGAATTGGACAGTAGCCTCTTGCATAGTAGCCATGTAATCCTGTTCAAATCAAGTCTCTCCTGCTCAACACTTTCTATTGTCATTCTTTCCCTTCTCCCTCTCCCCAATCTCCTTTCTCTCAGTAAAAAAGTCAATTTCTTATAATGACCTATTTCCACCTTTGCTGATGGTATCTCACATTACCCATTTCTTCACTACTCACTCCCATTCCATCCTTCTGGCTTCTTTATTTTTTTTCTTGAGCAAGCAGGCTTTTATCTTAGGGTTTTTGTACTTTTTACTTCTCCCTGTAATGTTTCCTTGCCCCAAATAGGCAGTTTTGATTCAATTGTCACAATGTTTGAAATGCCTGTCCTGATTGCTCTTTTAAAAATTGGAATCACTTCTTTGCCTACACAGACCATCCCCTTCACCTCTTCACCTTTTTTCTCAATTGTAGTTATCAACTAATATGCTATTAAATTTACATATATACCTTTTAAATATATTTTTATTGATTTCAAAGAGGAAGGGAGAGAGAGAGAGAGAAATATCAATGATAGGAGAGAATCATTTATTGGCTGCCTCCTGCACACTCCCTACTGAGGATCAAGCCCACAACCTGGGCTTGTGCCTTGACTGGAATTGAACTTGGGACCATTCAGTTTGTAGGCCGATGCTCTATCCACTGAGCCAAACTGGCTAGAGCTTGAATTTACTTACTAAGTTTACAGTCTCATTCACTAGAATGTCACCTTCACAGGGTTGGGGATTTTTGTCTGCTTTGTTTACTGTTTTATCCCTTAACAGAGATGAGTGCCTTGAATATAAGAAATGTTTTAACAAATATTTGTTGAATGATATTGTAAAAAAAAAAAAAAAAAAAAAAAAGATTCCTCACAATATTCTTAAACAGAGAGTAGCAAGAAAAAGAAGAATGTGGAAAACAAGTGTTGTTTATTGTCAAAAAGCTTATGCCCTGCCTTTCCTTTCTGTGTGAGTCAAAATACTGTCTTTACTCATTCTTTTGTAATAGGCAATTGATTGTTCATGTTCCTTCTCTGCTAATCTGTTAAAATCCTTCAGCATCTCATAATCAAATACCTTTTTGTCGAATAGTAGTTAACAGTACCAAAATGTTCTAGACAGACTGCCTTCCATTCCCCAAAGCCTAGAGCCAGGCCTATCTCCTTCTCTAAGATTTTGGGTCAGTTAGCAAAGAAGTGTAAACTGAATACCCAGGGGACAAAATTTCACAGGAAGAAACTGTTTCTTAGATTCCTTGGATTTACAGAGACTCAAACACTATAATGCAACTGTTTTTATTCCCACTGCTACTTTAGCAACATTGCTCAACCTGATGAAAAATAGATTGATTTAGGGCACAAAATTCCCCTGATAAAATTTTAATGTGACTTGGATTTCTAGAAGATTCTTGTTGTATATATGTGTGTGTTTCCCATTAGTCTGCAAAAGTAAAGATAGTTAGTGGGATTATGTGGAGATATTTTATAGTGATAGAGTAAAACAATAAGTGAAAAGAAGATTGGGTAAACGTATAGCTAGCTCCAAATACTTTTACTATGGAAGATAAATATAACTTAATTCTGGATAGGACTAGACAATTTCTAAACTGTATTCTGACAAGATTTATGATTTTGTATTTCAATGAAAGTGATTGTTTGGAAGATTTTTTTCATAGATGTATAATATATTGTAACCCAAATAGTAATTATTATATAGTAACTGAAATAATATTTATATTTTTTAGAAATAGACATTAATTTTCATTTCTCTCTATTTGGTTAGCTTATTAACTGCTATTTTAAATATTCATTTCTATTTGGTTGAAGACATGACTTAAATTTTTTTGAAAAAATTGCTCTGACATGAGCTCTTTTTCTTGATGTTTATTATAGAGGTTCCAGGAACTTCAGCAGTTGCAGTGCAGAGGACTTTGAGAAGTTAACTTTAAATAAAGGAGGAAACTGCCTTCTTAATATTCCCAAGCCTGATGAAGCCTATAGTGCTCCTTTCTGTGGCAATAAGTTGGTGGACCCCGGGGAAGAGTGTGACTGTGGTTCTCCAAAGGTTGGTTGAATGTTTGCTTTTTGCTTTGTCACATTACTTCAGGGTTTGCAAAAAATTAAATAGCTTGCTGTGGCAACTCTGGCATAGGAGCCAAAGTAAAATTTAGTGGCAGAAAGAGGATTGGCATTTTCCTTGTGGGGACCTGTTCCTGGGATTGGTCATCTCCTCCTTCCCAGAACATAACTAATGATGTCATCTGTTTTGATGTCAAGGAAAGCGCCATGCCGATTCTTTATTTATTTTTGCTAGCTTATACTATTTCTGTTATGGTTATTGGGTCGTTTATTTACTTTAAAGAATGACTTGATTTTTCACTTGGTTCTACTGGTAAAGTCTTAACATTCTGTCTGGCACTGCCATTGCAGAAATATTTATTTGATTGAACTCATTTTAATAATAAATTGAAGTTGGCTCATTCTCCAGAGCCCTTCATTAACAAAGTTGTTGGCACTGAAATTAACATCCTCTCTTAATTAACCTCTACTTTACCTTCTGACCTGTGGTTTTATCAAATAAGTATGATGCCCATACTTATTTCCATAAGCCTATGCTCATTTTTATTATTATTGCTCTATATCTTAGCCATTCTCCTCTCCAAATGGCCTCCTCCTGGGCCTAGCATTGAATTTGAAAGAAAATTTGTTCATTTTTGTGTAAACATCACTCTATTCTCCCATCCAAGTACTAACCTGGCCCGACCCTGCTTAGCTTCCGAGATCAGACGAGATCGGGTGCGTTCAGGGTGGTATGGCCGTAGACTCTATTCTCAATCTTTCCCACAAGTTCTTCTGCTTCACCCGACCACACCTGGCTTTGCCAGAAGACTTCCCATTCTAGAAAGGCAGTATGTATTATATTATGAAATTGTAATTAGCCTTCATCGCATTATTGCTGCATGTCAGGACTTCTGCTCAATGTTTTACATGGCTTAATTCTCTCACAGTAACTCAAGCAGATTGATATTTTTTATATTCTCATTTTCAAGTAAGGAAAATAAGGCCTAATAAAGCATGTTTAATTTTCAAATTAACATTATGCTATTAGGATGACCAAATTCTTTGCCTTTCCAGGCATTCTCAGTTCTTTATCCTTACATATTTCATGTTTTTAAAATAATTTATTCTTAAAAATATACATTTATTGTTGATAGTATGACAGATATCCCTCATTCTCACCCTTTTTACCCATCAGAGATGCAAGTCTGGTAAATCATTAAATGTGATACATCACATAAAAAAAATGAAGGATAAAAATCACATGATTATATGTGCACACTCTGGCCTACATGCCAAGATAGGGAGGTATTTATAGAAGGGAAAAGGGAAGTTAGAACCATAGCACTTTATTATTATCATAGAGTTCTTCCTGTAGGATTGTATGGAGTGTGAGAACTTCTATAATCTCTAGCTCCTCCCATGTATCCTCTCAACTGATTATGTTTGCTTCAAATAACATAGTTTTTTTCATTTAGTTTTTATCACTTTTTATATGCTTTTAGGCCACATGCATAATTTCCTTTTATGAGTTATTATTTTATATCCTGCATAAGTTTGTAAGTTGTGCTGTTGATTTTTTAAAATCTACTTCTAGCAACTCATGTATTATGGGCAAAGTTCTTTGTGAATATGTTCTAGTATTTCCTTTCTGTCTGTTGCTTATTATTAAGCTTAAAAAAATTAATCAACTTTATTTCTTAGAACATTTTAGGGTCAAAGCAAATTTGAGTGGAAAGTACCAAGAGTTACATATATTGCCTGCCACTCACACAAGCACTTCTCCATTGTCCACGCTTTGCAGCACAGCGGTACATTTGTTACAATTGATTGCTCTACATTGTCACATCATTATCACCAAAGTCTACAGTTTACACTAGGGTTTATTCTTGTCATTTAGCTTTTTATCGCAAGTATTCTTATTATATTGAACTTTAAAATTTAAATGAAGGCAAATTTACCAATTATTTTTCTTAAAATTTTTTGAATTTTGTATTTGAGTAATATTACTCCTTTTTCAAGATTATCATCATAGCTTCTTTATTCTTTGTAGTAGCGTTTTTTAAATTAAAATTTTTTAGATTACTCTTTAATTGTGGTGTTCATGCGGACTGAGGTAGAAAATTAACTTCTGTCCATTAATGGTTAGTTATTACAAAACCATTTAAAATGATGCTTTTATCATAATCAGAATACATGTATACACTGTTTCCTAATTCTCTTTTTTTTTTAATGAAGCCATCTTAGTGTTTTTTTTTTTTTTTAAAGTTAACAGCTTTATTGAACTATAATTGAATACAATGTCAAAAAACTAAATTAGGACTTAGATAAGGAAACGCTACTGTAATAGGAAGTCCACTCTGATCTCCGAAATCTGGAAATATCTCAGAATCAAAGAGAAAAAGGTTTTTCTTTAATAGGGTAATGGTGGGGGCAAAGCAAAGATAAGCAGAATCCTTTGAGGAGGAGCTAAGAAGCAAGGGGAATAACCAGTGAGGACTGATAGGAAAGTGTTCTGCCGTGGTCAGCTGATTTCCAGAAGAAGCTAGTTGATGAGGGGGACAAGCCGAGTGCAGGGACCTATATAAAAGAAAGAAGCCTTATTAAAATTTGGTCAAGACAAAGCAAAGGGTAAGAAATAGGCAATTGAAGACTTGGTCAATAATAAACTGCCCATGTTTAAAACATACAAGTTGATGTATTATATACATACTAGAGACCTGCTGCATGAATTTGTGCATGTGTTGGGTCCGATTTGCGCTAATAGGGGCTGAGCCAGCCATTCCCACCCTGATTGAGGGTGTGGCTGGCTGGGGGAGAGGCCACAGGCAGTTGGCTGGCTGGCCCTGTCCCCATTCAGAGAGGGGGGTGGATCGGGGCTGCAGTGCGCGTCATAGCGACCCATTGTTCCGGTTGTTCTGGCATTCTGGTTGCTTGGCTTTTATATATATAGATGTGAAACTGTCACTACTATCAAGATAATGAACATATCATCCAAAAAGTTCTTTACAACCCTTGGTAATCCCTCTTTCCACCCTTTCTTTCGCCCCATTCTCCTCAGACAATCACTTAACTATTTTTTGACATTACACATTAGAGTGCATTTCCTAGAGTTTCATGTAAGTGGAATACTCTTTTATTTTGTCTAGCTTTATTCACTCAGCATAATTATTTTGAGATTATCCACATTGCTGCAGTGTCAGTAATTAATTTGTTTGTATCGTTCATTATCATTGAATAGTATGGATAAACTACAGTTTGTCAGTTCATCTCTTGATGTATATTTGAGGTGTTTCTGGTGTTTTGCTATTAACACAAAAAGTTGCTTGAACATTCACCTACACACCTTTACATGAACTTGTGTTTTCATTTCTCTTGGGTAAATACCCTAAATGAAATTCCTGTGTCATATGGTAAGTATATATTTAACTTTTTAAGAAACTTTCAAACCATTCCCTAAAGTGGTTGTACCATTTTACATTCCTACCATCTGTATATGAGAGTTACAGTTCTTTTACAACCTTGCCACTACTTTATACAGTCAGTCTTTTCAGGGTTAGCTGTGCTATTAGGTGTGAAGTGGTACCTCATTGAGGTTTTAATTGTATTCCCTAATGACTTGTGATTTTGAGCATGTTTTCAGCTTGTCATCTGTCTTTCTTGGTGACATGTCAATTAAGCTCTTTCCTATTTAAAAAGTTAACTTGTTTTCTTATAACTGAATTTGGACAGTACTTATATTCTGGATACAAGTCCTTTGTCAGATATATGACTTGCAAATATATTCTCCCAGTCTCTAGCTTATTTTTTTAATTGGCTTAAGAGTATGTTTTGAAGAAAAGAAGTTTTATATTTTGATGAAGCCCACTTTATTAATTTAAGCTTTTATGGATGTCATATTTAAGAAATCTTTTGATCCAAGGTTGCAATGTTTTTTCCTAGAAGCTATATAGTTTTAACTTTTACATTTAGGTATGTGATCCATTTGACTTAAATTTTTTGTATGATGTAAGGTATAGATTACAGTTAATTTATTATTAATATTTTTATTTTTTCTTTATATATTTTCTCCATCACCATTTATCCCTTTATGTCCTCTTCCATCTCCATTCCCTACTGCCCCCCACCTCTGAAATCACCACTCTGCTGACAAAAAGTTACAAAACTAGTGCAGTATATTTTTTTAACCCAGTTTCCCTCAAAGTTGGCATCTTATTTTAATAAAAAATAAGAAATATAGTTTTCCATCCTTTCTCACTTTTTCTTCCTTTCCCCTCTCTTCTCTCTTCCGTTTTTCCTTCCTTTCCTGAACAATTCAGAGCTGAAGACATAAGTTGGAACATAGGAGAGTAGGTGTCTCAGTGGGTGGGAGCTTGTAGGGTAGGAGAGAAATGGTGGCCCATAGTGGGATGGGAAAAGCCAAGAAAGATAAAAAGCCACTGTTCTCAAAACTGCCTGGTACTGGTAGACATCTAGACAACTGGAATAGAAAAGAGAACGACCCAAGCCATTATGCTCAATTAATATTTGACAAAGGAGGCAAGAGCATACAATGGAGTCAAGACAGTCTCTTCAATAAATGGGTTGGGAAAATTGGACAGATTCATGAAAAAAAAATGAAACTAGAACACCAACTTACATCATACCCAAAAATAAACTCAAAATGGATAAAAGACTTAAATGTAAGAAGGGAAACCATAAAAATTTTAGAAGAAGCCATGGCAGCAAAATAGCAGACATATGTTGTACCATTATCTTTATTGCTACAGTTCCTAGAGCAATGGAAACTAAGGGGAAAAATTAAAAAAAAAACGGGACTACATCAAAATAAAAAGCTTCTGTACATCAAAAGAAACTATCAACAAAACAACAACAAAGCTTACTACATGGGAGAACATATTTGCCAATGTTATCTCTGATAAGGGTTTAATCTCCAGCATTTATAGGAACTCATACAACTTAACAAAAGGAAGATAAACAATCCAATCAAAAAATGGGCAAAGGACCTAAATAGACACTTTTTGAAAGAGGACATAGAGAAGGCCAAGAGATATGAAAACATTCTCAAAATCACTAATCATCTGAGAGATGCAAATCAAAACAATGAGGTACCATCTCACACCTGTCAGAATGGCTACCATCAACAAATCAACAAATGACAAGTGCTGGTGAGAATGCAGAGAAAAAGGAACCCTCGTGCACTGCTGGTGGGGATGCAGACTGGTGCAGATACTGTGGAAAACAGTATGGCGTTTCCTCAAAATTGAACTCCCATTTTACCCAGTGATTCCACTTTTAGGAATGTATCCCAAGAAAACAGAAACACCAATCAGAAAGGATATATGCACCCCTGTGTTCATAGCAGCACAATTTACAATATCTAAGATTTGAAAACAGCCTAAGTGCCCATTAGCAGATGAGTGGATTAGAACTGTGGTATATCTGCACAAAGCAATTCTATGCTGCTGTAAAAAAAGAAGGAATTTTTACCATTTGCAACAGCATAGATGGAACTAGAGAGCATTATACTAAGTGAAGTAAGCCAGTCAGAGAAAGATAAATATCACATGATCTCACTCATTTGTGGAATATAATGAACAAAATAAATGGATGAATAAAAATAGAACCAGAGAGATAGAAGCATTGAACAGATTATATAATCTATGAGGGAAGTCAGGTAAGAGATCAACCAAAGGATGTGTATGCATGCATATGAGCACAACCAATGGACATAGACAGTAGGAAGGTGAGGGCTGGTGCTTGGGGGTAGAGGTGGCTGTGGAGAGGTCAATGGGGGGAAAAAGAGACTCATGCAATACTTTATTATATTTTATTGATTTTTTTACAGAGAGGAAGAGAGAGGGATAGAGAGTTAGAAACATCGATGAGAGAGAATCATGGACCAGCTGCCTCCTGCACCCCCCCACCGGGGATGTGCCTGCAACCAAGGCACATGCCCTTGACCAGAATCAAACCCGGGACCTTTCAGTCCGCAGGCCGACGCTCTATCCACTGAGCCAAACCGGTTTCTGCTCATGTAATACTTTAAACAATAAAGAATTTAAATTAAAAAAAGAAGGTCCACATAGGGTGAAGACCCACTCAACAGAGAAGTCAGACCCGGAGCATGAAGAGAAATGCATTCATGGATGCTTAATTTCCTGTGATGATTAAAAACACTATTGTGGACTAAATGTGTCACCCGTAAATTAATATGGGATAGATCTTAGGGACAGATCTCTGATAAGAAGAGAATCTCTCCTTATAAGAAGAGATTCTAAGTTGCTCTCTTTCTCTGAACAAACACACACTGAAGAAAGGCCTTTTAAGAATACAGCAAGAAGGCAGCTGTCTGCAAGCCAGGAAGAGAGTCCTCACCAGAAACTGAATTGGCTGGAACTTTGATCCTAGATCAAAGCTGTGACACAATAAATTTCTTTTGCTTAAGACATCATCTATGGTATCTTGTTCTGGCAGTACCAGCTGATGAAGGTACATACTCTCAATGATTTGATGTAGTATGTTGAGACCTGGTAGTTGCAGCTAAAGAATCACTGACAAATCCAGCATAGTGATTATTTCCAGAGATTAACTGCTATTGCCAGATTAGAAAGAAATAGATTTGAGCTCTAAGATAAGAATTTTATTAATGAATATTGATGACAATAACTCATTTCTTTATTGCCAGTCATTTTCTTTTCACAGGAATGTGAATTGGACCCTTGTTGTGAAGGAAGTACTTGTAAGCTTAAATCATCTGCTGAATGTGCATATGGTGACTGTTGCAAAGACTGTTTGGTAAGAAATTTCTCCCTAATTTGGAAAAAAAGAAAGAAAAAGGAACAGTATTATATATCAAAATATCTTTGATCTGTAAGAGAACATTATGTTTATTACATGATTACATGAAACAGTTTTGGCAGTTGTTTGTAGTTTTGCATCACATTCTCTTTACTACAGTCTAATGAGATTTTTTTCCTAAGTAAAAACATTTTTTAATTTTAAGAAAAATCTATGTTTTTTATTAAAAATTCCACAATCCCAAAGTGTAGAAAACAGACAGTGGAAGACTTATCATTTTAACCTTCCTGACATAGCCATTTTTGATATGTTATTAATTTAGTTATTTTTTCTGTATAAATGTGATTGTGAATGTATATGTGTGTGTGTGAATGTGTGTGTGCACATGCATACATGGAGGGGGATTAAGTTGCTAAACATAGATACATATATTTTTCCTATTGGTATTTTCAATAAGATACAATGGGTTTTCTTCCATTTATGTAGTTCTACATGGTTGTATAGTTAGTACTTCTTTGTATGGTTATACCATAATTTCTTTACCTAGTCAATTGATGGGCATTTGGATTGCTTCCAATTTTTGTTTATAAGTAGTACTGTTGGGGCAGTGTTTGAATATTAACATTTTTGGCACACATTTTACGTACTTCCCACCCATTCTATACCTACCAGTCTAGTCACATGCTTGTTTCCTTACCTTACCATTGGTTTCTAGTAAGTGTTATAATCCTGGTTAGTTTGATAAATTTAATGTGCTTTTATATTTTTGTTTAATTTGCATTTCTTTCTTTTTTAAATTTATTTTTATTGATTTTAGAGAGGAAGGGAGAGGGAGAGAAATATCAATGATGAAAGAATATAATTTTTGGCTGCCTCCTGCATGCCCCACACTGGGGATTGAGCCCACAAATCGGATATAATTGAACTATACCCTCCTGGTTCACAGGTCGCCGTTCAACCACTGAGCCATGCCAGAAGGGAAAATCTGCATTTCTTTTGATTATCAATGAGGTTATGTTTTTCCCTGTATTTTATGACTTTTATGAATTGCCTATTATTGGCCTCTGTTCATTTTTCCTTTGGGTTAATTAATCTTTTGTTGTTATTATGAACTTTTTATTTTATTTTATATATCTTATTGATTTTTTTACAGAGAGGAAGAGAGAGGGATTGAGAGTTAGAAACATCGATGAGAGAAAATCATGGATCAGCTGCCTCCTGCACACCTCCCACCAGGGATGTGCCCGCAACTAAGGTACATGCCCCAGACCGGAATCGAACCTTGGACCTTTCAGTCCACAAGCTGATGCTCTATCCACTGATAAACCAGTTTCGGCTATTAGAACTTTTATACATATAAATACCATAGTTTCATATTTGATTAACTTGTAGGAATTGTCCTGACATTCCTGTTTCATTTGAATCTTATTATCCTAGTTTCTTCCAGGAGGTACTTTATGTAGAGGAAAAACCAATGAATGTGATGTTCCAGAATATTGCAATGGTACTTCTCAGTTCTGTCAGCCAGATGTTTTTATTCAGAATGGATATCCTTGCCAGAATAACAAAGCCTATTGTTACAATGGCATGTGCCAATATTATGATGCTCAGTGTCAAGTCATCTTTGGTTCAAGTAAGATATTTTATTTATAATTGATTGCTTTTGTTTTATTTTTTGCTTTAGTTTTGGTTAAAAGTGGAAATAAAAATTACAGTATATATACACATATTCAGAATATCAAATTTTAGTTTTAATTAATTCATATAAATAGTATGGGGATATACTTTGGGGTCTGCTATTTTCATTGTTCACTCAAAATATTTTTGAGATCCATCTATATTGAGATTTACATTTAGATCATAATGCAATAGAGTATTCTATTACATAAATGTAATTTATTCTATTATTGAAATATATTTAGGATGTTTAAAAATTCTTCTGGTTTTCTTTTTAAAGTTTTCATTTTTATTAAACTTATATTTACCATAAAGGTTCAAATTATTTAAGTATTTTATGAAAAATTAAAGTGTACTTGTAAGTAATATCTCCATTCATTGAGGAAACCACTTTTACCTTTCTAGCTGATTATTTTTTTTACTTGTTCCAGATCTTTAGATAACATCTTGGTAATACTTTGTTTTGATTTTTCCCATGGTAGGCATTCACTATGATTATGAGGATTTGGCTCACACAATCACAGAGAATGGTAGATCCCTTGCAGGGTATGTCAGCTAGCTGTAGAGTCAGAAGAGCCAGTGGTGTAGTTACAGTACCCAGGCTGGCAGGCCTGAGATCCAGGAAGACTGGATGATTCTGTTCGAGTGCTCAGGCAGTGCACGCCTAATCCCCTTTAATGGGGGTGGAAAGACTGCTTCCCTGCAAAGAAGACTCATCAGAATTTAGGGGTTTAGTGTCCTCAGCTTCTTCAGGGTCTTCCTAGATATCTCCATTTCAGCTTTCAGGATGTCATTCTTTCACAATCACTGTCCTCAGTGTAACAATAGACAACACTGAGCCACACTGGCCGGGCTAGAATGCTACTTTATCAGTTGTCAATTACTAGGAATACCTAAATTAAGCTTCCACATATGGTAAATAATAGCTGGCAATATTTTCATCATCGTTTCCCCACCAGGAGTGCAAAAGATATGTGTTTGAGAACAGTGGAAATGACTATGCTGAAAATGCTACCTATACTGTGTGAGCGATTTAATTTATTTATAGTTTCATCTTGTTTATTTATAGTTGCACTTCTTTTAAGCCTCGAGTGTTTGAGTTTAGGCTAACTTTTAAGTATAATCTAAGATTTTTTTTTTTTTTTTTTTTTTTTTTTTTTTTTTTTACAGTTGATTGTTAAGTATAAAATGTGGAACAAAATTTTTTCCCCGTAAGGCTAAAAACTTTTTCAAGGATATTGAGACAGTTCATCCAACTGTATGGACTATCATAGGGAATACTTTTATTTCTGAAATAAATTGCCAGAACTTAAAATTTTTTTTTTAACATTACAGAAGCCAAGGCTGCCCCAAGAGATTGTTTCATTGATGTGAATTCTAAAGGTGACAGATTTGGTAATTGTGGCTTCTCTAATAATGAATACAAGAAGTGTGCCACTGGGTAAGTGATGGGAGGTTATAAAGGAGAATGAATGATTACAAGACTAGTCATGTTTTGTTTTTTGTTTTTTTTTTTTTTTTTTTTTTTTTTTTTTTTTTTTCATTTTAAACAAGAAGTTTATTTAAACAACAAGACACTTGACTTGAAGGGAAAACTATCTAGGATTCATTTTTTAGAGTAATTTATCCCTACTTAAAGACAGATTGCCCTACATGTAACAGCTACGTACAAAAAAGTTATAAAATTGTCCTTGGTTTTACAATGATAAATGAAAAACATTAAAATTCTCCAATCAAACAAGGTATGCAAGAATTTTTATGTTGTTCTTTTTTTTTGTTAAACAGTGAGAGCAAAATAACTTACTGGAATATAAAGATAGAGCTGAATGAGCATGCCACTAATGGAGAAAGGGGGTGTTTTCACAGAACCAGTATTTTTCCCCGTCCCATCTCCATTTGATGTAGATCAAAACATACCATTGGCCATTTAGTTAAAAAAAAAAAAAAATGCAAATGCTTGTGCACATACACCAGTTACTTTATGTACAATAAAGGAATGGGGAAGGGGAAATGAAAGAATAGAGAAAACTATACTGTAGTAGTCAGATGTGTTGAAACCAAATTGCAGTTTTCTAATTGAGAATGTCTTCTTGGTCTGGAGGAACAAAGTTCTGGAGTACAGTAGCAGGTTCCCTTTTCAGTAGACCCCTCCTGTCTGCTGCTGGAACACATCAATGGTATCTTCATCCTCCATTTCCAACTGTGCAGGTGTGTCTGTTTCATTGATTGGCTGCCCGTCAAATCGGAATCTGATCTGCCTCATTGACAAACCCTGTCGTTCACAATAGGCTTTCATTAGTTTACTAAGTGGTGTATGCCTCTTAATCTTAAACTGCACCACAGAACCATCCTGCCCCGCCACCTTCAAATTAATATGATCGTTGTTCTCAGTCTTGACTCCTTCCTTGGGCTTTTCGTCGGCCATGGCGAGCGCCGGGGTCTCCTCAGCTGCCGCTTCACAAAAGAGGCACCAGGTCCGCACCAAACGAGCACACAGGCGGCACCAGGAGCGGCCTGTTTTTTGTTTTTTAAATATATTTTATAAATATATTTTATTGATTTTTTACAGAGAGGAATGGAGAGAGATAGAAACATCGATGAGTCATCGATCAGCTGCCTCTTGCACGCCCCCTACTGGGGATGTGCCCGCAACCAAGGTACATGCCCTTGACCAGAATAGAACCTAGAACCGGGGACCCTTCAGTCCACAGGTTGACGCTCTATCCACTGAGCCAAACCGGTTTTGGCAACTAGTCATGTTTTATAACTCCTTGTGACTGCTAACTTTCTCCCCCTTAAATACCAAACTTTTCAAACTTACAATTTTGCAACACAAGGTTTCAGGGAGACTGAATAGAACTGGTAAAATTAGTCACCCCTTTTGACATTACCTGTCTGAAATCAAATGGTTTTTAGAATCTTTGTTTATCTATGTTCTACACTGGAATCACAAATAAACACTCTTCCTCCTCTTTCTTCCTTTCATTAAAAGGTTGTGTTGCTAAATCCATTGAAGCACAAAATTAATTTTGTATTTTATTATGTTTTTCTTGTTCTGTAATTTAAAAGTGATAAGTTAAATAGAAAATTTCAACACAGCCTCATAAGAGTTGATGTTAGGGGTACTTAGTATATTATGAAAGGATTTGGAAGGGCATTTAACTCACACAGCCTTGGTGTATTGATGAGCTATGGATTGAGTCTTCAAGTAAGTAACTCAGAGCCATGCCAAGAATGGTGGAGTCCTTTCTTATTTTACATTACATAATCTAATTTCCTTCCTATCATACTTCTTTAAAGAAGACACAGTTGAAATTTAAAAAATATATATTTTTATTGATTTCAGAGAGGAAGGGGAGAGAGAGAGAGAGAGAGAGAGAGAGAGAGAGAGAGAGAGAGAGAGAGAGAGAGAAAGAAAGAGAGATATCAATGATGACAGAGAATCATTGATTGGCTGCCTCCTGCATGCCCCACATTGGGGATGGAGCCCACAACCCAGACATGTGTCTTGACTGGGAATTGAAATGTGACCTTCTGGTTCATAGGTTGACGATCAACCACTAAGCCACACTGGCTGGGCACAATTGTATTTTGATGTAATTCTATTATTTTCTACTTATAAAGTTATATTTATAAGAAACTTTGTTAGACTTTTTTGAGCCCTAGACAGACAGTGAGGAGGGATTAGGTGTGCAAAAAGGAGCATCAGCACCACCTGGCACCCTACTAATTTGCACCTCAGCATCCATTTACCTCTGCTCTTCTCTGCTGTATTTAAAGAGAGCTGATTTGATTTCTGTTGCTCTCACACACTCTTTCTGTTGAGATTCCTTTAAGCTAAATAGCAGTACACTCTCTATTTATGTACATATATATAATATTTCTATTGTATCTATACCAGTGCATTTTACATTTATTTTTCTGTCTTTATAGGAACGCTTTGTGTGGAAAACTTCAATGTGAGAATGTCCAAGAGATGCCTGTGTTTGGAATTGTGCCTGCTATTATTCTGACCCCCAGCGGAGGCACCAAATGTTGGGGTGTGGATTTTCAGCTAGGATCAGATGTTCCAGATCCTGGGATGGTGAATGAAGGTACAAGATGTGATGTTGGAAAGGTAATTAAAATGTTTTCTATTTATAAAGAAAAATTTTAAATATTGTTATGCAAAGTGATTGTTATTTTAGGATTATAAAAGAAATTATGTTTAGTATGGAGATTTGGGAAAATATGAAGCCATCAAGAACAAAATTAAGAATAGTTATGATTCTACTATCCAGATTTCTTTCTTATATTATCACCTGTGGTTTCCATATTGCCATATGCTGTGCATTTATCCCTCCCCTATCGATGAGCATATTTATTAGTTTGCCATTATTGGGACACCAAGTTGATTTCCAGGATTGTGTGTGTGTGTGTGTGTGTGTGTGTGTGTGTCGCACGCGCATGTGCATCTATGTGTGTCTCTGCACTAGAAATCTCAGAGTGTTTGTCCTGCCCATGCTCCCTGCTATCCTGACCAGAGCTGTTTGGATCAAATATAAGCTAAGAGTTAGCCAGCCTCTGACTTAATGCCAGTGATGCCATATGAGAAAGATGAACTTGTTTGGAATAAGTAATTAAAGAACAGTAATTAAGAGTAGGACAGAAACTGTAAGAATTCTTTGAGAGTTGCCATGAAGCAGAGCAGGGCTTGAGGCTTATGGTAAACTTAAGCCATTTACACAAGATATAAAGATGTGGGATTATTGAACAAGGTGAAGATATCAAGTATATAAGAAAAGAGGAGGAGGAGAGAACACAATTGACTGATTATGTGGCAGGTGAAAAGATAAGGTAGACCCTCAAATTACTTTAATTTCTACCAAATTTTGAGTTCCAGTTCAGTTTCCCTTTTATAAAAAGAGCCTTATATTTTTGTTCTTGTCCTTTCCACTACATATACTTGACTACTTCAGTAATGATAAACAATGATAAAAAATGGCTTTATAAATAAAAATTTCAGAATTTCTTTAAAAAAAAATATATATTTTATTGATTTTATACAGAGAGGAAGGGAGAGAGTTAGAAACATCGATGAGAGAGTCATCGATCAGCTGCCTCTTGCACACCCCCTACTGGGGATATGCCTCCAACCAAGGTACATGCCCTTGACCGGAATCGAACCCGGGACCCTTTAATCCCCAAGCCGACGCTCTATCCATTGAGCCAAACGGGTCCCGGCAGAATTTCTTACTTGTCTTATGAAACAATGGTGTGCATACTTTTAAAGTTTTAAATATATTTTTGCCAAATTTCTCTTTATAAAAGTTTTTAAAAAATATATATTTTATTGATTTTTTACAGAGAGGAAGGGAGAGGGACAGAGAGTTAGAAACATCGATGAGAGAGAATTATTCATCAGCTGCCTCTTACACCCCCCCCACTGGGAATGTGTCCGCAACCAATGTACATGCCCTTGACTGGAATCGAACCTGGGACCTTTCAGTCCGCAGGCTGATGCTCTATCCACTGAGCCAAACCGGTTTCGGCTCTTATAAAAGTTTTTACTAGTTTACCTCCCAACCAGTTTTAAATCAGTGTTTTAATTCTTCGTATGATAGTCAAGATTAGCTTCTATTGTTTTAAAGCTTTTTATTTTACTCTTTCTTAATTATTAGTGATGTGCAATTTTTTGGTGTCAATATATTTATTTGTGCTTTTCTTATTGATGTCTTTGTCCATTTAAAAACTGGTGTGTTTTGGTCGAAACCAGTTTGGCTCAGTGGATAGAGTGTTGGTCTATGGACTGAAAGGTCCCAGGTTCGATTCCGGTCAAGGGCATGTACATTGGTTGCGGGCATATCCCCAGTAGGGGATATGCAAGAGGCAACTGGCCGATGTTTCTCTCTCATAGACTTTCTAGCTCTCTATCCCTCTCCCTTTCTCTCTGTGAAAAATCAATAAAATATATTAAAAAAAAAAAAAACTAAAAAAATGGTGTGTTTTTCTTATCCTATCTAATGAAAGAGTAATATGCAAATTGACCATCACTCCAACATATAAGATGGCTGCCCCCATATGGTCAAAGATGGCTGCTTCCATGTGGACACAAGATGACTGCCACAGGTGGCCAATAGGGGAGGGCAGTTGGGGGCGATCAAGCCTTCAGGGGAGGGCAGTTAAAGGCAAACAGGCTGGTAGGGGAGTGGTTAGGGGGTGATCAGGCTGGCAGGCAGAAGCAGTGAGGGGCAATCAAGAAGGCAGGCAGGCGAGCAGTTGGGAGCCAGCAGTCCTGGATTATGGCTCCAAGATTGGAGAGGGTGCAGGCTGGGCTGAGGGACACACATCCCCACACACAAATTTTGTGCACCAGGCCTCTAGTTGATTTTATAATTTGACTGGGAATACAGCTAGCCTTCGAAGGTTATATATGATTTTAGCTAATGGGTTAGTTAGATAATATTTTTTATTTAATGGAATATCCTTTTAACCCTAATTAATAAGAATTTAAAAAGAATAGATTTAAAATTTTACTAGTTTAAAAAATCAGCTATTGAAATAATACTATTTTGTTTTGGTCTATTGATGTGCTGGGTCATATCAATAAAATCCCTAACATTAAATTATCTTCATATTTCTGGACCAAATACTGGTAACATTGAATTTTTTTGTAGATATATTTCTGGATGCTATGTGCTAGTGAGCATATTTTTATATCTCTGAAGCTGTATACATATGACTTTTTGAATTTATGAAATTTTACTCTAAGAATTATAGTCAGTACTCTTTAAGTCTCAGAAAAACTCAGCTAAGTCTGAATTAAAGCATAACAGGAAATTTATTTATTAAAAACAAAATCAGTTAAGAGATTTGGAATCCAGAATCCCAGATAATGTTCTGCAGTTCTTTCATCATGTATCTTTCATTTTTGCTTTTTCCTTGTTGGCCTTCGCAACCCCCCCCCCCCCCCCCCCCCGCATTATCTATAATAATAAAAGCATAATATGCAAATTAACCAAACAGCCAACCAGCAGAGTGACCGGACAACCACACTATGATATGCACTGGTGCCAGGCCAGCCAAGGCAGGTGCAATGCTATCCACTATCACCCCACAGAGGGAGGCCCAGGCCACAGCCACTGGGGTGATTGATCGGGGGGACTCTGCAATTGCCCCAAAGAAGGAGGTCCAGGTCATCGACCGGCGGGCTATGGTGGATAGGCAGGGCCTCCCACTGTGGGGCAACCGATCACAGAGCCTTGGCCCTGCAGAGGGATGCCCAGGCTACCTGGCTGGTGGCACTATGGAGAATGGGTGGGGCCTCCCTCTGTGGGGCGATTGATCACGGGGCTCCAGGACTATCATAGGGCCTCTAGTTGAGATATAATTGACATATAATATTCTATAAATTTAAGATGTACAATGTAATGATTTGATGCACATATATATTGTGAAATGATTACCACAATATGGTTTGTTAACTTATCCATCATCTCACATGAATCAATTTTTCTTGTGTGTGGAGACAGAAACTTACCCTCTTAGCAATTTTCAAGTGTATAATACAGTGTTAACTATAGTCACCATGCTAATTATTAGATGCCCAGAACTTACTCATCTTATTATAACTGGAAGTTTGTATTCTTTGAAAAGAAAGTGGATGACTGCAGCACAATAGCCCCATTCTGAAACATTCCTGAAGGACAATGGTGAAGGAAAATCCTCCCAGTGGACAGAATTTCAAGCAATACAACAGGTTGTTCTCTGGTAGGTTTGCTTGGAAGGAGAAATGGCCAGACATGCTTTACACATCCAACACCACTTACTGAAGAGACTGTCTGGACTCCTTTGTATACTCTTCCCTCTTTTGTCAAATATTAATTGAGCATAATGGCTTGGGTCAATTTCTGGATTCCCTGTTCTGTTCCATTGGTCTATATGTCTGTTCTTATACCAGTATCAGGCAGTTTGAGAATTGTGGCTTGGTAATATAGCTTGATATCTGGTATTGTGATCCCTCTAACATTGTTCTTCTTTCTCAGGATTGCTGTGGCTATTAAGGGTTCTTTATGTTCCAGGTGAATTTTTGGAGAGTTTGTTCTAAGTCTTTGAAATATGCCATTGGTATTTTAATGGGGATTGCATTGAATCTATAGATTGCTTTGTGTAGTATGGACATTTTAATGATGTTGATTCTAACAATCCATGACATAATACCGTTTCCCAGAAAATAAGACAGTGTCTTATATTAATTTTTGCTCCCAAAGATGCGCTAGATTTTATTTTCAGGGGATGTCTTATTTTTCCATGAAGAAGAACACGGTACACATTTATTGTTAAATGAAAATAAAGGAAATTTATTACCTGTATATGGTACGGTAGTACGGTAGTTGTTAACACAAACCAGACAAACTGTGAATCCTACAGTATCAAGAATTTACTCATTTATTCAATGACAATCATGTCATCATCTTCTGGAACATCATCATAATAATCCAATTCCTGAATTTTCTGGTGAATTTCTTGTGACTCTATTTCTTTCAGAATCAGTGGACCAAATTTCTCATGTTTAGCCTAGAGGGGGCCTTATTTTTGGGGGGATGCCTTATATTTCACTCAGAAGGAAACCTGTAAGAAGGTCTTATTTTCAGAGGATGTCTTATTTTGGGGAAACACAGTATATTCTTCCACTTGTTTTTATGTCTTCCTCTATCTCAGTGGTCGGCAAACTCATTAGTCAACAGAGCCAAATATCAACAGTATAACAATTGAAATTTCTTTTGAGAGACAAATTTTTAAATTTAAACTATATAGGTAGGTACATTATTATTAACTTAATTAGGGTACTTCTAAGTTGGCCTTAGCTAAAAACTCAAGGGGCCAAAGAGCCGCATGTGGCTCGTGAGGTGCAGTTTGCCGACCACAGTTCTATCTCTTTTTTCAGCGTCCTGTAATTTTCTGAGTATGGGCCCTTTACCTCCTTTGTTAAATTTATTCCTAGGTATCTTAATTTTTTTGTTGCAATGTAAATGGGATTTTTTTTTTTTTTTTTTTTTTTTTTTTTTTAGTTTCTCTTTCTGTGAGTTCATTATTGGTGTATAAAAAAGCCATAGATTTCTGGGTGTTAATTTTGTA